TAAGAAAACAGAAAACATTTTGCTTTACAGCTCAATCCTTTGTTTATTTCCCCTTAGAAAAAGATCCAGTTGTGGGTCTGTGGAGGTTTCTGCCAAACGCAAATACATTGAAGGTGGCATTTTTAATTGGCTGCTTGTCCAGCATAGTTTCCCACAGGGAGTGATGCTTTTTCACTGTGAGCCACAGAAATGGCATTAACTTAAAGTCACACTTTCTATTCAGTCATTTGCACAGAATGTTTTGCAGTTCTCATCTGGGCTAGGTTGTTCCCCAGAGCTGCTGCCTTTCCCATTTTTTTCCTTGCAGAAGGTCAAAGTCTACTGGAGCGAGTAAGACCAGTTTGCCCCGAGGAACGTCTTCTCAAAACACACCGGGCTTTATTCATGATCACAATCTCTAATCCGCATGTGAATTGAAGCCCCAAACAAAGCTGGTAGGTAGGGGGCTTTGATAGTTCCACCTCTTCCCACTGAACTTCACGGAGAGGGATTCCACATTTTCTTGGGCGAGCATCTGGTTGACATTCACCTTCAGGTTTTCTCGGGGCCCGCTCGGCGCTCTTTAACTGCCAGACTAGTTTTGAGGGTGGTGTTTTTTGTGTGCGTTTCTTTTGTTTAAATCTAGCTCAGAACGGCTTGCCTTCTTTTATTTATCCACCCTCAAGGCCTAACCTGGTTTTCCTGTTGTTCCTTCTGTTTTTGTTACTAACAAACAGGAAAAGATCTGTGTCAAGGAGACCATCTGACTTCATTTGCCTTCCCAAGCCAAATGGTCCCCCAGGCTTGAAAATCCAGCCTAGAAAAACTCAACAAGCGTGGTGTCCCATTTGTACTCTTCAAAATTTGAGGAAAAGAAACCCTCTTTCCCCTCCCTTGGCCAACCCCCCACCCTGGTTCCTCGTTTTCAACTCCTCCGTCTTCTCTACCTCCAATTATTCCATTATTCTGTACCTGAAATTAATCTTTTTGCCAGGCAGGTCAGGGCGATCGACAGGCTGTTGTTTATTGCGACGTTTGTTCCTACTGGTCTCGGCTCCCCTCGTCCTCGCCCCACTGACTGTGGATGTGACCTTTGTTATTTCAGCCTCCACTCAGCAGTTTAGTGGAAACAACTTGAGCACGTTCGGCCCTGATAAACATTATCCTTCAACCACTGGGGACCTGGGCAGAGTAAACGAGCTTTTCCGACAGAATCACATCAGGAACACACATTGAGAAAAAGGCCCGAGAAACAAAGTCCGAGACAGGGAGGTGGAGCTGGGAGAGGAAGAGAGGAGAGGGAGATGCAAGTTTGAGGGGAAAATGAGCCAGAGGAGGAGCGGAGGGCCCCCCGAAGTAAGCTCCGACCCGACAATACTACCTCAAAAGTGCTCTCGGAGGCACGGCGAGAACGGGGGTGGACTGGAAAGAAGAGATCGGGATCGAAAGCGGGACAGGGCTGCAAGTAAATCTCGAATCTCTTGGCATGTTCAGATTCCCAGAAAATCCCTGACCTACCCAGAACCACATCGCCCAAGATCGATATTGTATTGGACGGCTGGAGCTTCCTGGGGATTCTTTCTTTTCTTTCTTTCTTTCTTTTTTTTGGGCGTCAATTTCAAATCTAAACAATTTGTGCTTTAGAAATAAAACGGACGCCAACGGTTCGCATTAAGGCAGCCATCCCGTCGGAGCGCAGATCTCAATCCTATCTGAAATTGTAATCCAGGCCAGGGGGTTGGACGGAGCTTGTCCCTGGGCCTGCTGCTGCCTGAATTAGAAAGGAATGGCTGGAAATCCAGCGGACTAAATTCGTCAAAAAGATGAACAGGAGCGGCTGTGAATGATTAAGACCCCAGCATCCCCCACACTCCCATTGGTAAGCCTTCCCCTCTCCAGTGCGTAACTCCCCCCAAAACAATCCGAGAGAAGAAAGTGTGTGTGTGTGTGTGTGTGTGTAGGGGGGGGGTGTCCGGTGGAAGACAATCGTGGGTCTTGACCAGAAGCTCCCTTAAAGCGCCCCTAACATTTATCCTGGAGGAAGGGATCAGGGTCCAGAGCGCCAGCCGGACCTCACGAGCGAGAGGGTCAAAGAGCTTCGCCCCTGACCGACTTCAGTGGGAGTGCGGCCCCTCTGATAGAAGCCGGTTCAGACGAAATGTGAGAATTTCAAGGTGATTCAGCGGCTCTCAACAGGACAAGCAGCTGACAAATTTATGCTGAAAGGCGCGGGACGTCATCCAACTCTGGCTGAACCAACCCTCCTCGATTTGATTCTTAATCTATTCATTAGAATTAAGTTGTTTTTTTTTAGTTTTGAGTCACCGCAGACTTCCACCTGATGGATTAAAAGAATGAAGAAGATGGAGGAGGGGGAGAAAGAAACCACTCTCTACCCCCCCTTCCCACGTGGCTGTTTGTAGAGCGTACTCCGATATTAGCCCTGTAATAGTTGACTCAGGTTTGGCTGCTAAATGGCAATATTCAATCGATATTCAAGCCAGCGTAGCCTAGTCTAGTGCGTTACACAGAAACTTCGCGGTGAGACAATTATCCCTTCCCCATCATTTCCCAAGCGATGTCCCTGTTAGATTACAAGGTTAACTCCTTCATAAAAATCTTGTTGCTTCAAAGGCAAGTCCGCTTTGTTACATTTCCCCCATCCCACCGCCACTTAGCCCCCATTACCGGGGGCCTATTGCAATTATCTTATAAGAGAACGGGTGGTACTTGGACCTCTTTAAAAGCGGGGGTTGCGTTTTGTACGGCCACTTCTACTTTCTGAGCACAATGAAAATCTCTCCAATTGGAACAGGAGCGCTAGCCTGTAAACGGTCGCAACCCTCGTTTCCGAGCGCAACTTTGGCATCCCCCGTTCGTTCCTATGCAATATCCCTAGCCTGAGTTTTGAATGAGTTTCTCCCCTGCAGACAGAGATTCCCCACGTTTTAATTCCTCCCAAAGCGAGGTCATTGCTTTCATTTTTAAGGGACGCCCAGTCGTTCCTGTTAAGCGCGCTGCATGCAGAATTCAAGCGCTGCCCATTATTCCAGTCCTAAACCACCGAAATAGTGCAGGAAATAGAAACAGCTTTGTCCCTCAAAGAAGCTTTACGCTTGGAAAGCGGCCTTGGTGGGAATCGCCCCCCCCGCCCCCACTTCACTTTTCTTGCTGGAAGTTTTTAGTCCTCTGCAGTTCACGCTTCGACCTAATGTCTCAGATGAAATTGCCCGGCCGCTCTTAAACGCGTTCTTTGTCAAAAAACAAGGCTAAAGGATCTGGTGGCGGATCAGTTATCTCCTTAACTAGGAAAGTTCTGAAAACATGTCCGAGCGGGGGATGTGTCAGCGCAAGTGCCAATATCCTGCGCATTATCCCGACCCACATCTAACTTCGTAAAGTTCCCTTAGTTGAGCCTAAAAGCTTAAAAAGTAAAGAAGCATCTATTACAGTATTTTTCATGTTCCAACGCAGGCCCACATTGAGAGGAGATCGTTACAAGTGGACAAGGCTTCTCGTTCTTGGATCCTGTACAATACCTCCGGACCTGCGAGTGCGCAAGAGACCCCCACCCCACCCCTCCTTTCCCCTCCCACCGCTCGTAACGTGTCATTGTGTTTCTTGGGCGAGGTTGATTTCTTCTAAAAAGTTTTCAGCGGCTGCGGTCCGAATGACGCAAAAAAAGAAGCCATTCCATTAAAATCTATTTACATTCGCCGCCCCGTCTTTCATGGGGCAGGGAAAGCCCCGTGTTTGTTTGTGGCCTTG